TCGTCTGCTACAAAATGTAAACAAAGAGAAACAGCTGACAGCTACGTTGTCTGCTTGATTGCATCTCTGCTTGAAGAAAATTCATAAACCCAATCTCAGCCACAGAACAATTAACAGAAATATTGTTCATTTAAGTCTTTTGAACCTTCCATCGCTTTTAAAATATAAAAAGAACATTTTTGAACAGTTTACTTTTGAAAGAAAATCATCTTAATCAAAAAATGGGAAAAAAGTTCATTCTTGAAAAACAAAAAAATATTCTTAAAAAGTACTCTTATTTCTGCAATTAAAGGATTGAATTCCGTAAATTCATTAATAAAAAGGTTTTCGGAGTAAAGATAAATGCATTTCAAGCCTCTAATGTCTCGTTATTGAATATCTAATTTGGTCCCTCAACGAGAAGAATTTTCGTGGCAGAGGGCTTGTGGGGTGGCAGGTCCGGACCCCGAAACTCCGAATTCGCCCAGGAAATTATCGTAGCCGGAGTGGACAGGCCCTGGGTCGCGGGGCCGGGCGGGGGGTCTCACCGCTTTTCCTCCCGACTGTCCAAGGTGGAGTCGTGGAGGCAAACTGTGCGCATGCGCATTGCGCACTGCGTCGGGCGGGAGCTGTAGCGAACTGGGCGAGGGGCAGAGTGGGGGTAGGTGGGGCCGAGAAACGGGTGGTGAAGGGGAAGGGATCTCGGGAGATCGTGATGGAGAGCAAGAGACACGGCAACCAGCGGCAACGCTTCTTACAGCTTCCTTGCGGCGTGACCACTAAGTGGCCACGCTATGATCAATCATAGGTACAAAAATGAGCCGCAAGGAACGTGTTAATGAGAAAATACCCTCTAGGAAACTACCTCAAGGCACTGGCGACCCCTAGCTGAGGAATTGCAAAATGTGTGAGAAGGGGGAGCTAGCAAATCAAGCAAAAATAAATTGGTTCAAAATTTATTTTGCTGTCAGAAAAAGAGACAATTCAAAACAATAAGTTAACAGTAGTCCAAACACTACTACAGATACGATTAAATGGCAAGCGACAAGAAAAACTGAAAACCTTGTCGAAAAAATATGATATCATGCTATTGGGCTCTGAATGTAACAGTACAGTTAACTGCTTGATATTACAAATGTTTGTAGGTATGAGACTACTGGAATGAAGTTTTGTATCATTGAAAAATAGAACCCACCATCATTATGATATAAAAACACATGTGCCCTATGACAAGAGCCGGCATTTTATTACTATGCTATATATTATGAACGTTTGAAGATTTTTCAATCATACAATGAGGAACCCAATTTTTACATTTAAAATTATAGTCTTTAAAAGTTCAAAACAACATGGTACTGACATAGCAAAGCCTTAATGAATGATTGCAAAAATGCACCTCACATGGATAGTCAATAAGAGAAACTGAGTATGCAGGGTCACCTGAGTGACTGATACATATTTGAGTGAGCAGAGATGACACAATCAAAGCGGAATAAAGAAAAAAAACTCTTAAAAATTCTCAAAACTTTAAAAAAAATTCAAAATGTTATCTTCAATTATTTTTTTTAGAAAAAACAACAAACAAACTTGTGATATGTAATCTAATTTTCAGACATCCTCCCAATTAAACATGAGAAACTCACTTTTAGTCATTTGACAGTTTTTGACTGTCAAAGTAAGTCCCTATCTGCCTACACTTTAACTGGCTGGTCAAAATGACTGAAAGTGAGCATTTTGCATTTATTGAGCTTCAACCAGATAGGAAGAAATAGCCCTCAATCAAGTGAATATTTCAGGGTTGGCTTCCAGTACCATAATGTGAACCCTGTTAAAGTAGAAATAAAATTAATATCAATATTGTGGAAAATCATAAATAGACAATAAACATAGATTTAACAAAGCTAAAAGTTTATCAAGTTTGACAGTCAACAACTTCTATCAAAAATACATTCAAGTTTCAACATAAAATACATATAATTGAAGGAATTAAAATCACAGGGTACAAATTATTGCACTTTAATTACAAGCTTCCTTAAGCAAGACTGTTATACAGCCTGATAAGTATGTTTGTGCAAAACCTTGAGCAGGAACATAACCAACATCAGGAAATTTTTTCTATGAACATGATAAAAGCCATTCTGAGCAAAAAGCACCACAAAATGGCTTTAAAAATATCAACACTTGAATTCACAGGACATTTAGATCTTTGAGCTTAGCTGATGAAGCATATTCAAAGCCACGATGAAAATATAAAATACAATCAATAACATATGACTCCTATTGAAAAATAGAGTATAAAAGAATGTTAAGGGTGATACCTTGTTATGACTTAATCATCATAGTTAGACAACCAACAACATTAAAAAAAATACAACTTCCTCTCAATTGTTGAAAATATTTAACACAGAAAATAGGAAAGAGTAATTCAAGTAAGCATTCTAAAAGAAATAGAAAGACAAACAAAAAGGAGATTGCTTTCCTGATGACAGATATGTTATTGTCAGTCAATGAGGAGCTTCCTCAGAGCGTTTAAGACCATTAGCACTGATGTTACTGCGGACTTCTGCAAACGCTGGCCTTTCCTTGGTTGATGGAACAAAGCTGAGGGCCCTACAAATTCTCCCTGAATCTTTAAGTTGCGGCAACATGACCTACAGAACAATGTTTATCTTCAAGTTAATTTTCAATAAAATTATAATACTGCTAGGATGGTTTAAAAGAAATCATACTATACCCTTAGTTTAGCTTCCAAAACTTCCTTAGATTTTTCAGAAGAGGTAATTTTTTCTTGAGCCGATTCTAGTTCTTTGTCAAGTTTTTGCTTTTCATCTTCCAACTGCCGAAGTCGCTGTTGAGCCTCTACATGGGTTAATGAAAAAAAAAAAAAAAGTGTCAATGTCAAAAGATCACCATTCTACTGAAGCTGAAGACCTAAAGGCTTCTTACCAGATAATTGTTCCTCCTTATCTTTCTGTTGTTTTTCAAACTCCATTCGTTTTTCTCTCTCTAGTTCCAAAAGTGCTTTCTGTTCTTCCTGCAATCTTTCCAGCTTTTCTCTATGTTCCATTTCTTCGCGAAGGACCCTGAGGAGAGTATACAATTTATTCTTTGTGTCTTTCAAATACAAACAGTGCACCATATAAATTGAGATACAAAAATAGGGGTCACGTGCCTGCCTTGTAAATTGCGTACTATTTCTTCGTCGCGCTTAGCTTGTGTTTCTTCCTCTAGGAGGCGCTCTAAAGTTCGCCTTGTTTCTTCTAGCATTTGGACTCTTTTACCCTCCTCACGGTGTACTGCTTCCAACTCTTTAGCTTGCAGTTCAGCAGCAACTCGGGCCTGGAATGTACAAGGAGAATTAAAATACAGTAAGTGAACATATAAACAGACAATAAGAGGAAAATATTTAAAATAATTACCACTTTTTCTGCTTGCAGCTGGGCACGAGTCAGTTCCATGTCAAGGATTTGACTTGTACGCCGTTTATGCTCTTCAGAGAGGCGGAATGCATCTGCTTCACGCTGAGCTCTCCGCCGAGCCGCCAAGGTTCTTTGATAACCCTCTCTGCATCCTGACTGGGCTATTGCCAAATGGAGTGAAGAAATCCATTGTAACCTAGACCTATATGCAAAACAAAAACAGAATGCAGGTCAGAACACACTACCAATCTGATGTGCTGAAACCATGTACAAACCCCTTCATTAAATTCTGGGAAAATTATATACCTATGGTCATAAGCAGCAAACTCATAAGTTCTTTCGCTTGTATGCAAGGCCAAGCGATGAGCCTTATCTTGGGTCCGCATTCCTCGAGATGTGGCATCAACTCTACACTGGGTGTCAAGGCTGATGCTACCACAGCACTCTCTTTCATCTTGACTTTTGTAATAATTTAGCTGAGTTGGACGAAGAACAAACCAGTACTCTCTAAGAGTTGGGAGGAGGAATCCTCGCTTCATGAGGGTACCCTAAGAGATTTTTACAATATTGTTAATGAGAAGAAAATGCAAATGAATAGGAACTATAATATTCTGCAAACCTTTTTCAACACATCTTGAAGGTAGGTGCGGAAGATTTCTTGTACAGCTTCTACAAGTCCATCAATTTCTACACATCCATCACCAAAATATTTGGTTTCAATTAGAGCAAGAAAAGTGCTAAAGCGAAATGCCCTCACTGAGGAAGATAAAATTTCAAATTCTCCTGCATCCCATTCTAGTCCAACGGAATAAACAATCTCAGATACTACTTTTCCAACCTCAGAAGAGTGCATAAGAACCTGAAAAGGAGTGTATGATACAATTATATGCAAACATACATACTTTTGTGTCGAAAATCTGTACCTAAGATATACCTGATAAATTTCGGAGGATTCTATCAGGTCAGCAAGCATACAGAAAACACGGAAGAGTTGGAAAACTGAATCATCAGGAAGAAGCGGTTTTTCTCTCAAAATTAAATCTTTCTTGCACACTAGCCAGCATACTTCATCAACGCGAGCTTCAAAGTCTTGAATAGAAGTGAGAGTGAAGTTGTCAGGTAGTGATGAGAAAACCTTGGAATAAAATTAGACAATTTTGTAAGTTTAAAACAAAAGGACGTTAGTCTGTAAGTTTGATAAACCAGTAGGAGGAGGTCTTCATTGACTAAGAGAAATGCCCACCTCTTTCTGCAAATAATATTTAAAGTGTTCAAAATTAAGATCAGAAGTGCTGCGGTAATGCTCTAGACCCTTTTCAACTCCGTATAGGTCTAGGAGGGTACCAATGTTCGCTGTTAACACCTGCAACCACAAAAAATAATTCAAGGACTGAGTGTAATCTGGTAAGTTAATAAATTTATCATAACTTGACAAAATATTTCATAACCAGAAATTCAGATTCTTCTTGAAATCTTTTGGAAACAGTGAGATAATACTTGTGTTTTCAGAAGCTTGTCAGCAAGGATCGAAGCAAAGGCAAAACGATTACAAGTTTTTACCATATATGACAGTATGACTCACACACATATTTTACACAACTCAAAGAAGAAAATAAAGAGCTGGTACGGTACAAGGTTGTGCTTTTTAGAAAGTTTACAGCATTGGGATTACCTTAAGCTTGGACTTTACAACTAATCCGCTTTTGTCACAGCATAAAGCGTTGAAAGCGTGCCAGATGCTGTTGGTCGCGTTCTTCAGTAACAATGACATGTTTCTGCTAGAGAAGCAACAGGTGATCGAGTTTCAACGCGTCAGAGCATCTAGAGTATTTGTATCGAAGATTAATACAAAGACAGGTAGATAATCAAAATTGTGACATGGAAAAGCGACGAAGAATGCTGCAATACGCTTCAGATTTCGTTGATTTTCAATTACAAATCAAAGGAGTTGACGTTTTTGAGATCCAAAGCTTCATTCACTAGATGGTCTGAAAGCAGACGAGGGACTAGAGCTGGAGTGGGGGAAGAGGCGGGGACTGGAATAACAATGTCTCGCAAGGTTCATTGTGTTCATTTTAAAACTTAAACATCGATATTTAGCAAATAAACTGTTCCATTAGGTTCTTTAGGTGCAGTATTCTTCATTTGGCTCGCAAGACGAAGGATGATTTGCTCTAACTTTTCTAGTCAATGAGAATCTCAATGGAGAGCTAGTCGCCTTCTTAGTATCTGTATATCTAGGCATTCTACGCTCACTCACGCCCCCAGAGCCTGCGAATAACCATTTCCAGCGGTGTGTAAATAGTTCATAGCCGTCTTGTCAACTCTACTTCACTGTGATACTGTTTATTTCTCAACAGTATCGTGGATTTTAGTACCTCAAGGGGTACGTCGAATAGTTTGAGTTATAAACTCAATGCCCCATTTTGAACTGCAAGTAAATTTATCATTGTTTCCCGCTAAATGTAAGCCATATCGTCCGTAAGTTGAAGACGAAGACGTCTGCTTATCTGTTTGTCTGCTGGTGTTTGTGCGTGCTGTGCGCGCCCGCCGGTCAAACAAACTTACACAGATTTGGTTATTAGGAGGAGATTTGAGTCTCTGGCTCAGTGGCCCAGTGACCCTCTCGTGTTGTAATTGGTAAAATTAACAGCGATCCGAAACTTTTCGTCCCACATTTACTTCAAAAATTGCTGCCGTGTGATATGAAGAAATCGATATGAAAAACTAACCTTTTTGACCCTTGCTCCAAGAACTTCACTTTGGTCCTTGCTCATGTATTATTTAGAGCTGCTACTCAGTCACGGTTCTCAACCCTTTTCGTAATTTTCTCTCTGTCGTTTTGTAGCGTATATAAAGTGTTATAAAGAGTTGTCCTCAGCATGTTTACAAAACTTTTATTGTATTAAATTCCAGAGATCTTCACTATGGCAGGACCTCTGAGTCCCTTTGTGTATTGGGCTCAAACAGAGGATCAGATATCTCTTCGAGTGGCCCTTATAAATACAAAGGTAACGTCTATACTTTCATAATTATAATTTCTATCTGGTTCTTTCTTTCATTTTTATCTGTATTCAATTTTTATTTATCTAATACAATTTGTGTGCATTTTGCAGAACCCCGATATAGCTCTTCACCCAACTAAATTAACATTCTCAGCTCAGGGTCATGGTGCTAAAGGTGTTCATGACTATGCCTTTTCCTTAGATTTCAATCAAAATTTAGATCCTGAGGTTTGTAGTGTCAAAAATATGTTTTACAACTTGATCAATAATTGTTAGTAATCAACAAAACTGCAAAATACAATAAACGAATTTTTGACGTTATTAGGAAAGTTCTTTTAAGACTTCTGACCGAGAGGTACTTTTCACTCTTAAGAAAGTTAAGAAGATGTGGTGGTCAAGGCTAACAGCAACACCACAGAAACCTGCTTGGCTCAAGGTAGATGTGTATTACATTCTTTCAAATGAACTGTATTTTTAAAAATCTAATCTTGTAAAAACTAATGTCTGTTTATAGATTGACTTTGAGCGATGGAAATCTGAGGATGGCGATGAAGAAGAGGAAGCAAGAGACATCATCAATGACTATCCTGATTTGTATAAAAACCTTCATAAAGAAGAACTTGGGTACATCAAAGGTGGGTATGGGGAATACACCAGTTTACTTTGTTCGTAATGAGTAAACATTGCCTTAATTTTTTGTATCTTCTTTCATGTGATTTCAGAAGACTACAAAAAAGTTTATCTGCTCATTTATAATCTGTTCCAATTTGTAGGCTTCACATTTGTATTTACTGTTTTGAGCATACAGTATTTCAGAGATGGACCAAGTAAGTTGATTTGAACTGTAATGTTTCCTGTCTTCTTGTCCTGAAGTTTTGAGTGGATTCATTCTTTTATTTCTCAGATGCCATGTTACATGCTTACGACTCTGTGGGTTCTGCTATGAAATTCGTTCAGTTGTTGCAAATTCTGGAAATTATGCACGTTGTATTTGGATACACTAAAGGTGGTCTTTTAGCGCCCCTTATTCAAACATTGGGACGAGCATTTATTTTATTTTGCATGATAGATGCAGAACCCAGAATGCATTCCAAACCGGTTGTATTCTATCTTTTCATGATTTGGTCATCAATTGAATTGATCAGGTAGGTTAAATGGCTATGTCTTGTCTCAGAAATATGCTTAGTGTCACCTCATGTATAATATGTGCCCTCATTGTCAATTTTCTCTCAGGTATCCCTACTATATTTCACAACTCTACAAAATAGATGTCTATCCTCTTACTTGGTTGCGTTACTCTATCTGGATACCACTTTATCCTCTTGGAATTTTGTGTGAAGGAGTTGTTATTCTTAGAAATATCCCATATTTTGAAGAGACCATGCAGTATTCTGTTTCTCTTCCCAATCCATGGAACTTTGCATTTCATCTGCCTACCTTCCTAAAAATTTATTTGGCATTTGTTTGTTTCCCTGGTAAGTCTTTGTATTGTTTTTGCAATTATTTTGGTGCGTTCTTGTAAGTTAATTTATACCTTTGTTGTTACAGTTATGTACTTTCTTATGATGCATATGTACCGTGCTCGTTGCAAGAAACTTGGAATTAAGAGTTGGAAAAAGTTCAAGTAAAAAAAGCCAACTTCTGTAAAAATATTTTAAAAAAACAAACAGTAAGATGTTAGCGGCAATGTCCAGAGCCCCGTCACACCTAAGATTGCCTAGGCAATGTTAGGTGGATTCAGTATGGCCTGACTTGAAACTGGCGCACCTAATTGCCTGAAAATTTGTTTGGAAATCTGAGGTTGGTGAAAGGGCAACAAATTTCCTGGCAAAAATAGGTGGATTCAACATGGCCTGAAATGAAACTGGCACACCTAACATTGCCTAGGCAATCTTAAGTGTGACGGGGCTCCGGACATTGCCGCACACATAAACAAGTTTCAAAAACAGGTATAAAAAAAAAAGAACATTTAAAAAGAAAAAGTAAATTGTCCTCTTGTCTATACCAGACCTACTAGAGCTCAAAAAATATTTTCTTTTCTAATGTTCTAGCTTTCCTGAAATGGAATTGTGTCAATATTTTCTTTTTAAGTCCTAGCTTTACATGAATTTACTGTCACCTCAAAACAGTCCCATTTTTAGAATGTATTAGCACCATATTTTCATAGCAATGTTTTAAGAATGAACAACAATTAAGTACTAGTTTTAATTAACCTGATGCCTAGTCCTACTGAATCCATTTCCATAATTTACATCAAAATATTGCCTCTGCTATTATCTTTGATACAGTTGAGACAGTTAAAATAGTAGCTTAACTAGTTGAGAGGTGTATTCCAATGTTCGTAGTCAGAGAAATCCTATTAGATAATAAAAATATCATCTGAAAGTATTTGTCTTTCCCGCACTTACTCCCCGTTATTCCCTCTTCCGTCACTTCCGGAAGTCAACTTCTTCTAGTCGTCTTCTCCCCCCCCCCCCTCTCCGTTCGTCGTATGTCGTCTGTTTTTGCTGTCATTTGGTGTCATCTAATCTCGTCTGCTATATTCTTTCCGTCCTTTTTTTTTCTCTTAGACTTGAATTATTTAGTTGTAAAATGTTTCACCTTACACATTTTGAGTCAGTTTGTACGTGCCATGTATTAATTGTTTTCTCTTCAAATGGTATATCATCTGACATTTCAAAATATTAGTCAAAGACGTATCTAAGAAACGTAACCTACCGCCTGTGATATTATATTAAAATTTTGAAAATGAGGGTGATAACAGTATTACGCGACAAAATTAGACAATGCAACTTGGATCCCTCATACTTTACTAAAAGGGGTCAACTTTTGAGGAAAGCATTTGGGAAACACCTCCTCTTGACAAACACACTCTCATCGGGTTTCCTAATGGGCCTTGGGGATTACTGCCAACAAAGAATTGAAATTTTCCAAGGCAAGTCTTCAGATAATGCTGTGGACAAGAGAAGAACAAGTAAGGCTTAAGAAAAATTTTCAGTAGTATTGTTTTATCTATGAGCTGGGATTATCAGATATCTTTTGTCCAATTACCAGTTAACATGTCAACTGTCGGTTTGGCTCATGGCATTTACCACCATTTCTTTTATGGGTGGATGGACAAAAGATTTCCTGGGCGAGCTGTACGCCAGGTAATGTTCAAAGTTCTTTTGGATCAGCTGATGGCGTCCCCTGCCTGCATGTATATATTTTTCATTGGAATGGGACTGTTAGAGCGGCGAGGCTATGAATCTGGATGGCAAGAAATGAAAAAGAAGTTTCTCTTCTGTTACACCGTAAGTTCACAGAAGTACAACAATCATGTGAATTTTTGAGCATGTTTTCCTGACACTAACAATTTTTGTGATTGTAGGTGGACTGGATTGTGTGGCCCCCAAATCAGTTCATCAATTTTTACTATGTGCCGGCAAAGTACAGAGTTATATATATAAATTCTCTGACCATGCTCTATGATGTATTTTTATCTTATGTGAAGTTTTATGTAAGTAACAACATTTCTTCCGTTCCAACCATTATTGTGACATACAAGACAGTTTAAAAGGAGGTTTAATTTGTTCTCTCTTTTCAAGGATCAACTGGATAAAGACAAATCTGTTTGAATGGTGCTTTCAGCCAGAGTACAGTACCAAAGACAGCGAGCTTGCCATAAGTTTTAGTTACTTGACTGGATGTAAGTTTACTATAGGGTATATAGAAATCACAAAAACAGGGTAATAAATCTACACCCTCAATAATTATGTATATGAGCTACATGTCTGGTCTTACAAGTTTCATTCAAGAATTATACTTCAGAAAAAAAAACACACATAAAAAAAAAAAAAAAGAAGGGGGGGGGGGGCACTTCTACTTATTACTTTATAACAAAAATTTTGGTTCTGGAAAGTGAGCACCCACAAACTGCGTTGCTATTTAGCACTAAGCTTAACTTTTTTCATGTTTCAGGCTGCTTTCAAGGAAAAGAAAAAGAACCTGTTCTTCCATCTTCAAAATAAAAAAAAAACTTGAAAAAAAGGCATCTGTTTCTAGAGATAGAACTTGTTTTGTTTGAATTATTGTGTTAATAATATATGGCCATTAAATCAGTGAGCAATACAAAGTTGTCATTGTCTCCGATCAATTTATAGCAATGTCTCATAATTGACAAATATATTTTAACAACTATGTATTGGGCATTGCCATGAAACATGAGTTTTGTTAAAAGTTTAACTTGCAATATTCATACTGTTTCCCTCTCTTCAACTGAAAATCGCCTTGGAGAATACTGAAAATGTTGAAAGACACTAAAAGATTTACATCCTGTTTGTTGCAAAATCTAGATCAAAAAAGCCTAAAGCGAGAAGTAGAGACAGGAACACTTGAGAATTTTACTCATTGCATAGAAAGAAAGAGTGTTAGGGAAACGTACAATTGGAAAAGAATATCAAGGTGAGCTGTAAAATAGGAAATGGCCAATCTGCAACCCACTGGGGACCAGACTCATTTTGTAAAGCGTGGGGGAGGCTCTCATTTTCAAGCTTTGAGAGGAGAATATGGGGCAACCACATTTTCCCTTGCTCCATTCCTGACAATATACTGGTTGAGTAGGTAAGGGTAAAATTATGGTTTGGACATTTCTAAAGTTAACACTGAATTCTTCAGACAGGCATGCACCACGTTTCATTGGGAATAAGGACTTCTTAGGGCAAAGAATTTTAACAATTGATAAAAAATGGCTCAAAAAAGTCTTAATTGATGCAACTATATTTCACACATGGACAAACAAGTGCTCACCACAACTGGTCCTTCAATATTAATTTTATTAAAAGTACTTCTACAGAAACTGAAGAGACTCCTGTAGACTTATCACAGAAAATTAATAACAGGATTCATCTATTCCTGAAAAAACGCAGACAGCATCTGACTATGCATGGTACACAATGACCAGGACGTGTTTTGTGTTCTTCAGAAGCTTCACAACAGTTAAATACGACAGTAGAAACTAGTAAATCGTGTACACAGAGGAGGAGCTTACATTTACCTGGAGGATAGAAATTACCTTTATGCTGTTATTTAAAAGTAAATTGAATTACAAATTAAAGAAAAGAGAAGGTTTATAGCTATACTGATATAGGTACATAAGATGTCATGGATACTTGTCAGTTTAGGAAGGTAATGTAAATCGCTGATACTGTAAATGGCCACAGACAACCAAACAAGGACAGTACTTTGAAATGATTAAATATTTCTATATCTTGTTAAAACAGTAAGTACGCCTCAGATTATACCAATAACCCAGCAAAGCTCTTGTTGAGATGTCACTAAAACCTCCATGATGGCAGTGCCAATTTTAAATTTAAGAATGACAAGCATAATTGAACTATCATTTCAGATTAATACTCTTATGTACAGAACTTAGAACTAATTAAAATACATCAGCAAGCCACCATAATGGTTAAGGTGATTATTTTCAGATTACAGTTATATACACAGAAAAATAACGTGCAATATTTCATGAGGCACAAATCGAGCATATGAATATTACTAAATTTGAAAATACACACCAAAGAAACAAAGTCTAATTTTTTAACTTGCCACATTAATTAAACAGAGTCTCCCATAGTAGTCCATAGGCTGAGGGGCCAAAAGTTCTTTCACACTACCATCAACAAAATGTTCTGAAAGCAAAACATTAAGTTCTAATTCAAGTTAGAATATTAAAGACTTAGAGAAGAGGCAATCATATCATAAATTCTGCTGCAAGAAGAGGCACCAGTGGCATATGCTATGTTTTTTTGTCAAATTGTTTGAGTACAACAATGACATTTCTCTACAGGCAACTTAAATCACAATTAATGAAAATCACAATAATGCCTGAAAATAGAAAATGACCCAATACTTCAACCCAACAATCATTTAGGGTAAAAAAGCAGAAAGTTTATTTATCACATGATAATAGTATCTAAGGCAAAATGTTCAAACAATGTACACAGGTGGATTTAAGATCAGAACACTCCAAGTGTTGTAAATCCACCTTAGTAACTCACTACTGATTTTCAGAAAGACAAGAAAAGGATGAGATACATATATTACAAGATTGACAACTACAATTAAATTAAATATTT